GATGCTGATCGGATGGTCCATAGAGAAAATGACTCTGCAGATGTTTTTTCGGATACATGACCTATAGATGGCCCCAATTTGTATTCGTCAATGCGAAGGGCTCTGATATAACTCCCTTGTGAGCCAAATTTATGGTAGTAGTTATTGCATATCGCTTGAGTAGCAAAAAACAACAACAACAACAAGTGTGATTGTTTCATTCATATATACGGAGGTCTCCATAATATCTAAGGGCTCGTAATGTTCCAAGATTGGTGGAGAGAGTTGGTAGCTCACTTCCCTTTCCAGTTAATTCTTTTAACAATTACTCCTCCGTCCCAAAATAAGTGTCTCAACTTGAGACACTTGTTTTGAGATGGAGGGAGTATGATTTTTGTATCAAATTCAAAACAACAACAACAACTAATTGAGAGGATATGGTAGTATATGGTTAGTGGTAACTGCATGCATATACCTTAGCCTTACCACTAATTAGTGGTGACTGGTGAGAGCTAGTAGCACTGCCACCAACCATGCATGTGGCTACCACGTACGCAATAGGCTATATATTTTTACATTAGACCATCAGGGCGAAGCGTACATGAGGTCGTAAACTAATTGAGCAACGCTAGGTGTTAAGGTTAGTCTCTGCTGGCACAGCCGAGCCATGCAACAAGACAGCTCATTGCATTTGAACAAGTGTAACCGATGGTCCGCACTACGCACACGACAAGCAACGTGATCTATAACGTTGTTAAACACTTCCTCGTTGGTGGGGTGCTTGTGTCTGAGTTAATCAGCATTCGATCGAGCTGAAATGGATATGTGCTTCGTGTTTTTTTTTCCTTAGCTTTCCAGCAAAGCTGAGCCAGCAGTATGGCAAGAAAAAGGCACAGGCGTTATGCACGTTGGGCTGTATGCATTCTCTTTTCTGTGACACATGGTGGTCTAAGATAAATCCCCAATGTCAGCTCAAGAGGGAGACATGGACGGTCATCTCGCTGGTGGCCTGGATGTTGTGGAAGCACATGAATGATATTGTGTTTAATAGAACTTCACCATCCGCCGAGGAAGTGCTCAAGAAGATCGACCTCGAGGAACAAAGCTGGAGAGCAGCCGGGCTACTGAGAGGAACAGGGTCGCTTCCTGTTAGAGTAGATTGGGAGGCTAGTGGCGAGTAGTTCGCATGTTGTGTGGGTGTGTTAGCTTTTCATAGCCGTGGAAAATTGTAATCAACAATGTGCCTTCACAGTACTCTTCTATGATCTTGATACGTCAATCATATCCTTGAAAAAAAATCATAGTGGCATTAAGATGAAATGCTTATTCATAGTCCGAAAATTTAGGGTCTAGGCAACGACTATGTCATACGTAACACGGTGAGACCGGATGGGAGTGGTTCGATGAGCCTGAGTTTCACTTAAGGTTTTGGATAGTGGAATGTTAGAGTTTGAATGAGGCTTTTGGAGCTTTTTTTTGCGGGGGAAAGGAAACTTTTCATTACTCAAGGAGGCTTCTCAGCCGCACAAAGGTTTATAATAAAGTTCATCCCAGAGTACAACCACACTGTGGTGCGTGGGGTGCTTCGGCCATACACGGCCAGCTCATGGCTAACTTTATTCTGTGATCGTCTACAATGACTAAATAAGATCTCCCTCTCCGCCGACGTGGCTAGGCTCCATATCTCCTCCACGAGAGTACGATGCTGCGATCGATCCGCCACATGTGTTGTGAGCATACGTACCGCTTCAACACTATCCAGCTCCACCAAAATGGGCAGGCTAGTCCGATGCACCGCCAGGTCTAATCTCTAAGCACTCGAGTAGTGAGTCCATGATAACAATCTCATCCCCTTTTAATAGTATTGGCATACCTACGGGCTTAATGTGATTTTGGATCACTTAAACATGAAATGAAGTCTTGAGGCATTGACCAACACTTTTCGTTAGCATCTTGAAAGGTCCCATTTCACATCCCCAAGTTGTGCCTAGGTTGAATTTATGCTGAAATATAATCAAGGAAAATATTAATCCAACAATATGTACGTTGACATGAATTACCAAAACCACCCAGAGAGTGGATGTGCTTTCAGCCACCACCACGGCCATGACCATGCCAAGTAGCCCTTGCCCGTTCTTCAATTCCTACCAGCTACATGCTCCCTAGGTAGCCGCCTAGCTTTCCCCTTCCTCGCATCCAGCAGTTCCAAACCAATGGTGTGCATTCTCGAACGAACGACGCCATCGTATAGCCACATCGAGGCCCCCTGAGTAACCGAGCTGCCACTCACCTTTTCCCCTCACCAGGAGCACCAGGGACACCCCACAAACTCTGCCCCTCTTCTAAATTTGCCAGAGACGCAACCCAACCCCTCCCCACCCCCTCGTCACTCCATCATAGACGAGCTCTTGGCAACCATAGCTTTGTTGTGGCATATCATCTTCGACGAACAGATCCTCCATAAGCTTCCTTGCATGCCCCAAGTACAGCGCATCCCTCCTCCCGCGTTGCCATGCCTATGTTCGTTGTTGGCAAGGACGGCTGCACAGCCTCAAGTCATCGTTGTCAGCCACTCTTTGACAAGGTAGGGGAACATCGTCGTCAGTCGGTCAATGTGCACTGGAATGCCATCTTGCAGCTCGTGTCTAGGCTGTTGGTGGCAAACTCCACGGCAGCGAGGGAAGGTGCGACATGGACTCAACATGTGATGCAGCGTCTGCACGTTTGCATGTACGCTGTTTGATGAAATGCCTCTTGAGAGTGGGGAAGAAAAGAATAGAGGAGAGAGATAACCGCTGCCACATGGCAGGTTTTCCACCAACCAGGCTTTGGACGAAACCTACGTGGTTTTGAGACTTGAGAGACCAAATGTCACACAAATATTTTTGAATGATCAGTTGTATACTTTTGGTAAACTTAAGGGACGTTAAACATACTTTTCTTTTAAAATATTATATGTAGTTTTGGCTTCTCGTGCTTTGCATCTCGCATGTGCAAACATTGCAGGCATAGAGGAAATGGCATCATCATGTATTATAAAAAAAGACATATCGCAAACAGTCCACTCCAAAAACTCGGCCTAGCACATCGCACAAGGTAGTACACATGGACAGAGGCAGAAAATTTATTCGAAGGGGCCAATGGAGCATGTAAAACGTTGGAAGGGGGTCATCCATACAAATTCATAGATCAATCTACATATTGTGTAGGGGTGTTTCCAGAAAAGAAGATCAGCATGCGGGAGCCATGGCCCCAGTCCTGCTCTCTCCCTCACTTGTAGTAGTAGTAGTATCAGGACAATATTTAGATTTTCAGATTGGACGACTCCTAGAGCTCTGCAATATTTCGCAAAAGAGTCCCTTAGGAGTTTGAAAATTTTGCATAGGTCTAGTAGATCTAACAGCTTCCAAATGTCATCCGATCTGAGAATCTAACGGCCCAGGAGGCTGTATCACGGTAACACCTCGGCACAAGTAGTGCCAGATATTCTCCCTAGTAGTACCTTAGCAACCATGTGCGACTAATGAATCACAAAGTTCAGCCCGCAAACGTATCATGAAATATTTAGAAAAAAAATGTAATTAATTAGTGTCGTAATAAATGATAAAATAAAACACAAAATAAACATAAATTCAAACTGCACATGCCCACAGCTGAATTAGTCGGCGCGAGACATTTCATGCGGGTAGAACAACAAAACAATAATCAGGGGGAGAAACTAAGTGGAGTAAATGCCAAATCTAGATGTGTCATATTCCACCCCGACCGTTTGAAGAGCCAAAAGACAGCCCCGACCCACGGAGCTTGTCCTCAACAATGTCGTCCAAGCGCCGCGCCATCTCTCGCGTCATATGGTTCACCCAGTCTCCGATCACCCCTTTCCTGAAGTTGGCTTCATGCGGGTACTTGTAAAACAGTCCGGAGGCGCCTGTCTTGTTCGCTTCTAGACCTTTCATCGTCTCAATGCTACACAGCTTGACGATGTCTGCCGGAAGCCCGGCCGCCTCGTCGGCAGCTGAGAACGGCACCCCGAGGAACCGCGCCAGCTTGATGACATTGTCAACCGGATTGAGCAGAATCTCCTCGTACCTCAGGAAGAAGACCCTCTCCGGTGTGGCTTTGCTTGCCCTCCAGTAACCGAGAACGTGGTCCCACATGGGGCCATCTGTGGTCTTGCCCTCGCATACACTCTCAAACAGAGCAGAGAACTCGCATGGGTGAATGGTATTGCCAAAGTGCCACATGGACACCAGCATATCCTTGGGCTCCCTGCACGTGGCCGTTTAATCAAATCATTTCCATCTGCTCTGCCAACCAACTAAGGTCGTTTACAATTTTGGCAGAGTCAATGTCTCAACCTCCCTGGTTTTCAATATTGTGTCATTCTAGAATATATGCTGGGCTAGAAGTTTAGATTTCACCATCACTAAAGGGTGTCATCTACGAAGACTACTGTACATATTAATGGATCTATCATATTGGGTAATTTCATAAACGTATATGACTTTGCTTAATTAAAAGAGATTAAATATTTTTTAGAAATTGGTGATCAAATTTATAGAAATTACAAACAAACTAAAATCACAATGTGACAGCAAAAATTTCGGATCTACTAGCATGTTCATGTAAGAAATTAAATAAGGGTCAAAATATGTTTGTTGAAGGCTAAATTAACTACTTAGCATTAAAATATCTACTTCCTCCGTTTCAAATTACTCATCGTAAAAATGAATGTATCTAGAACTAAAATACATCTGATATATACATACCTGCGACAAGTAATTCGGAACGAAGGGAGTAGATGACTATTTTGAGACGGAGGGAGTACTTAGGAACTGAAGGAAATGGTAGCTGTTCCTGAGATACCTGCAGATGTAGACGATCTTGGCGTTGGGGTTGTCGGCAACGGAGGCGGGCAGCAGGGAGTGTTGGATGTGCGTGTTCATGAGTCTAGGCGACGGCAGCGCCTCCAGCTTGGTGTCGTGCCCTGCGCTGAACAGATCGTCAATGAAGGGGACGCATTCGTGTGGGTTGAGGCGCAGGAGCGGGTGGTCGGCGGCGGAGGGCGGGTACGCCGCCCGAGCCATGATGGCGAAGGACATGGCCTTGAGCCACGTGGTGCCGCACTTGGGCGGGCTCGCGAGGAGCACGTCGCCGGGGCGCAGGGTGAAGCGCCGCTGGAAAGAGAGGACACCGGGCATCCTCTCGTGGATCACCCAAGCGCCCTGGTATTGGTGGTGCACGAAGCGGCCATGGAGAGCGATGGTCGGCAAGGTGGAGATGATGTGCCCGCACTCTTCGGGCGGGGTGATCCGGTCGTCCTCTTCGCCGCCTACGACATCGTTGAACGGGACGGGACCTACGAGGCAGCAAGATGCGCTTGGATGAGTAGGAGTGGCCATGGCCATGTGGGCGATGCGTCGGTTTCTCTGGTGAGCTGACGACGATGGCGTTCTTTATTCCTTAAAAAAAGGCTCCACTTAACGGCCGGATCAGCGTTTCCGACCGCGAAAACATGTGGTCGACCCATCGTGGACTGTTTTGGCTATCTTTTACTCCTTCCGTCTTATAATATAGTGCTTTTATATTATGAAACGAAGGAAGTACGTTCCATAAGAGGTAATGGATGAATTCATAAGTATGAATACTCATCGTCTATAGTTATCTGCTCTTGAGTAGAAGATTGTTCGTGTTGAAACTTGATACCCAACCTTAGAGCATCTAGCCGCCACCCAAACATCCGCGGACGCGGTCGGGCACCAAAGCAAATCATAGTTCAATAAACTGGACATGTCAAAATGAAATCAATGTCCGAGCGTGCTGGATAGCCTCGGATCATTGTTCTGGTGCGTGCTCCGAGCGGAATGTGTTCTGCTCCAGGCGGATTGCGTCCTGCTATGTCTGCATCCGGGCTACCTCCTCCGCCTGCATCCATGCTGCCTCCTCCGCCTACATCCGGGCCGCTGCCGCCCTCGCCGCCTCGTACTCCCTACGGTCGTTGATCTTCTTCTTGCCCGCAAGCCACTTCTTCGCATGCTCATCCAAGAGGGTTTCGTCCGCCAACATGATCCTAGCAACTTCCGCGTCCCGTGCGAGTTGCAACCTCTCCTTCCCAAGCTCTATGTCGCCAAATATCTTGGCCTTCTAGAGTTCCCATTTGATCGCCACTTGTTGCTTCTCCAACTCGATCGTCTTCCTATCAATTTCGAGCTTCTTCTATGCCCTTTTCGGGTCCCACTCCATCCTTTCCTTTTGCGAATCCAACATGAGCTTGTACCTCCCCTCCTTCTTATTCTCCCTCACCGAAAAAATGCCCGTCTATGTGGACGACATTTTGGTAGCCACGGCATCACAGGCGGCATGTGCCTTCTCCCACTTGTTTCTCATGACTTGGTGGTTATCCTTTGGCACGGTGGCTTTTCCATTCGTCATGACAACATCGTCCTATTCATCGTCCGACCCAATTAATTGGTTGGAGCTTGAGCCATCATTCCTCTTTTTGCCGTACTTGAGGTCGGCCACAAGTTCGTTCCACTTGGGCTTGCCATTCAATATGACCCAACAATGGGTAAAAGCAAATGGCTTCTTCTCCACCTCATGATACAAAGTGGCCACCACCACCGTCTAGAAAACAACATATGTATGAGCATGAAAATACAAACACAAAAAGCATATGCAAATGATGACAAGATAAAGCAATTGAGCTTATGTAAGTTGCGACCCATCCCACTTTGGGGGCGTTTGGTCACTTGTGAGTAGTACCCGATGTACTTGCTCACTTCCCCTTGAATGATCCCTCAAAGATGTTGGAGAGGTGTTGTCTTCTTCTTCTTGCTTGGAGGGGCATCGGATGTTGTACCAAATTCAAAAGCGGTGGTGGCCGCGAATTCGTACTCCATTTCGGTCGGATATTTTTTATCATTGATCATGCTCGACAAGAACGCCTCCTGCATAATTATGGTTTGCAAGCATTCATCATGTACGAAATGAACTAATGGTCTATGCAAAAATCTGATTAGACAGGAGCAAAGAAGACGCACCAACTCTTCTTCGGTCATTCTGTTGAACAGGTCGAGGGTAGCCCGGGCACTGCCGGTACCTGTGCTCATCCGCGCCTGAACAAGCTGCGGCGAGTCACACACGTCGACCGTCAGCATCTGCATGAGCGGAAAACACTCCGGAATGGACCAGCCGGCCGTCGAATCCTCCTTTGTCCCTATGGGGTCGGACGGCGTAATTCACGTCGGCGCTTGGATGGAAGGGGTGTAAGGGGTGTAGGGATCCGGGCACGCCGGAGGAGACAGCTAGTCCACCATGTCCGAACCTCCCTGCGACGTCGCCGCTGCCTCCCTCTCTTGCTGCCAGTGCCGCCACAACTTCCGAGCGACGTTCTCCGCCTTGCAAGTCACAGCCGACGAAGTGACCCCGCTGACGGACGAGGCAAACCGCGTCTCCGTCGCGGCGGTGTGGGTCGGGCTGGACGACATCTCCGGCGATGGATCGGGACCGGTGGTGAGGATTGGGAGCAAGGGTGGAGGACGGCTAGGGTCCGAGCACAGGAAATGTTGGAGGGCGGCGGAAGGAGGAGGAAGGGTTTAATGGATTTGATGCAATTTAGGTTGGGATCGGGCTGGCGGGTCCTGCGTGGCGGGCGTGTCCGGGCATGCCCGGGCATCCCCATATTTGGGCTGGATATGGTGGGTGTCATTCAGCCCGGGCGTTTGAGGCCCGTTTAAGAAGCCCGTCTAGATCAAAAAATCCTGACCGGACGGTGACCGGATGGCCCGTCCAGGTGTATGAGGCGGGTTTGAGGCAGACGGCTGTAAATGCTCTTATAACCAATGTGCCCGCCACATACCCTCTGTGTCTTTATTTACTTCACATACATTTAGGCTTGTCGCCATCAACCTTACAAGTTACAACCAACCTTACAACCCACCTATGTAATTAGAATGGAATGGATTTACGTAGCGTGTCTGCTAAAAATCACTCGACTGAGATTAAGGGTGTGTTCGGAGGCTCTCCAGCTACATGCTTCACAAATTTCTGGAAGGGAGCTGAGCCAAACGAGTTTGGGCCAAGAAGCTAGAAGCGAGAAGCTCAACCAGCCGCTAGTGTAAAAACGTGAAGCACCAAAAGCCCAGCTCCACCGATTGGAAAAGGAGAAGTTCACCCAAATTACACACAGCTGCCACCGCCAAGTGAGGGCAGATCGAACCGGTACGCTCGCTGGAACATATCGCTCGATCGAATCGGTACCATGTGCTCCTTCTCTCGCCGAAAACCAAGACGGGCTGCCTCCAACCGGCCCATTATGGCGTTAAGGCAAGCCACCCTTGCTGCCAGCCCATAGTGGCGACAGGAGAAGCCAGCGATCGCTGCCGAACGGAGTTGTCTCGCTGCGTGAAGTGAGAAGCTGGGATGGGAAGCTAGAATCGTGGAGTTTGTGGAGTTGGGAGGAGATCTGAACAGGCCCTAAGTCTCAGTCGACCATGCAGCATTTTATGCCTTCGGTTGCAACATTTTTCCTACCGGTTGCAACATTTGTCTTGCCGGTTGTAGCATGCCGCCCCCATCGGTTGTAGTACGTCATATCATCGGTTGCAACATTCTTCATTGGCGGTTGTAGCATTTCTGTTAGAATGGTTGTAGCATTTATTGTTTTTCCTTTTAATACCGTCACATCATTTTTCATCGTCGTTTGTAGCATCCAGCCGTGCCGCTTGTAGCAAAAAAAAAACCACGCTAACGTCACTCGACTAAGACTTCGTTGAATATTAGTCGACTGAGTTTTAGACATACCTTTTACATGAGCTTCGTAGAACTATTACATAGGTGTAGCATTTTGGACTTCCGGGGTCATAGGTGCGCATGTGCGCTTGACGGCAATTCGGTCACGCTCCACTCTGCCTTTGTCCTGCCGGTTCTCCCATTCCAAAAGAAAAAGAAAAAAGAAAAAAGAAACCTGCTGGTTCTCCTGTTTGATGGATTCTTTTTACTTTGGAACACACCACACGTACAAGTTCACCTACGTGAAGGGCTCGAACCTTACCAGCGCAAAAACTAGTATGACAAACCGAAAAAGGCAGTGAATCAATCTGCGGTTGGATGATTAAGAGAACAGTGGTCTTCCCTGCCCATCAGAGTTCATGTTTCAGACTTGACATTTGTGTTTGTATATATTTTTTAGATTTATTCCAGAGGAGACATTCCCACCGACTACGAAGGCGTCTGTAGCGACTTCCTCATTCTCAAGATGATGTGACGGACAGTCTTTCATAGGTGTTCATAGAGATAGAGTGTGTGTTCGTGCGTTTATAGGGATGAGTGCATGTACGTATGTATGAACGTCTGCATCTGTATTGTGTTAAAAAAACCAAAAATGCAAAATGTGCAAAATTTAATAAACAAGGTAGAGATCAACCAACGAATAAGTACAATGGAAAGGAAGAAAAACACCCGGAAAATAACCTACTAGTACTAGGGAGATGATGCAGAGCAAATTGGCGTGGCAAAGCGCCTGCTTCTAGCTACTACATAGTACCACAGTACAACGCAGGACTAGAGGCGTAGCCAGCTAGCTCTTACTTGAGTTGAGAGACTTGAGCGCCCCGAGGAAGCTGGCAAGTCCAGCAATGCCGGACAACGTCAAGATGATGGCTTTACGATAGTTGTAATGGAACTTGTGAAACTTGATCCGTCTCGGCCTCTTCTTCCTGTAGTTCTCGATGAGCACCATGGTCCTCATATAGTGGGTTCCGGGTCGCAGCCGGTTCTCCACCCTGTTGAGCAGTTCCAGCGCGTCCTTGTTGCTCAGCCCTGCACCTCCCAGCAAGATACCCTTCTTCCGCAGCTGCTGCACGTCCTCCTCGCTGTCCGTCACCATGCCCAGGAGGCAGAGGTAGGAGCACACAGCAGACTTCTCCTCGACCTCTACAGAAAAGTCTGGGGTCGTGCATAGCTCCAGAACCGCCATGTTGACGAGGAAGCTCGCGTTTGCATCGTCCAGGGACAGTGGCGCCAGCAAAAGCTCGCCGGTGAGGAGCGGCTTATCATTGACGCCCATTTCCTTCAGATCTGCCGTAGGCTTGGTGGCCGTGATCTCGATGCCGATCTCCGCAAGCTCCATGGCACTGACGGAAATCGATATCTTCTCTGCATTTTTATGAAGGTCGGGCTCGGCCGGCGTCTCGGTGGTGCTCCCTACGATGTAGTATCGCAGGAGCTCAAGAAGATGCAGCGGCGTGTAGCTGTCGTCCCATGCAAGAGGGCTGTTGTCTAGGAGCGGTACGGTGGGCTGCATAGTGGCCTTCCAATCCGTGGTGAACCGTACCAGGTCCGGGGGCGTCGGCATGAAGCGCATCAGCTCTTGGACCACCACCCATGGGAGCTGGTTCTCGAGCAGCGC